CACACACACACACACACACACACCACACACACACAGACACACACACACACACACAAACCCAGCCAAAACAGAAAACAAACCAATTTCGTCACCCGTACACAGCTGTCAACTGACCACACTGCTCCAGTTATGCAAAAGAAGCAATTTTGTCCGATTAATCTCACTCCACCCCCGTGAGACGACGTTCTTCGCAGACGTGCAACGAGTGGAAATTTCCCCAATGGCTGCGTACATGGATTCAATTCCCGATTCAGGAAACCTGTTTACCTTGTTCTTTCTCCCGGCTGGGTTGGTTCAGACGAGCAAAACTAAAACAACAAAACAGCCTGAGTACTACATGAGCTAAGATTTCTCAATCGAGGTAAAAAGATAAAGTTCAGTTACAATCACAATTAACAACCAGAAAACGCAAAAGATACCGACGCTTAAGACCTTAGATTTTTCTCACAGAAACCTCTTAGAGAACATTTACTGTTTGTCATAATCTCTCCCAGGGCCACAGTACAATGCTTTCAACGTTTCTCTGAATTTCGTATTAAAATTGAAATAAATTAGGATATTGCAGGCGCTGCTTAGGAAGATCCCTGATCGAGCTAGCATAGCGGACGACAGGAGGGAGTTCGAGTAGCGGCCGAGGTAACGAAACTCTGGTTCAAACAGCTTGATGAGTTCTGAGAAGACGACCACTGGAATGTGGGTACAGATGAACATCAGAGTGACGAATATTACAGACTTGATCACTTGTGTATCTCTTGAGGAAAAAGTCTTTGCTGCAAGTCTCGAGCCTGAACACTTCGTCTGGCCGTCCTCGTTGGTGGAGTTTTCAGTATGAGTACCAGCTGTCTTTGCCGTTTGGGTTGTTATCTTTGTTGACGGTTCAGCGTCTGTCTGCTTCCAGCCTGTGATTTCGCGTCGTGTTCGAGCGGCCGACTTGAGGTTGATAATGAGAATTACAGTAGAGATGCAACAAGCCATGAAGCAAATGTTGACAAACACGTTCCTGAAGAGCATGGCGTGTATTGGCTGCAACACGGCATATTCCGGGGCGAAGTAGATCCATAAACGAGTAAGATTTCTCCTCGGATCGTAATGATTTTTCATTCCATGGAAAGACAAAATCGGAATGTATAAAACTACGAAAGCTACGAAAGCAACCGACAGAACAACGATTGTTCTAAATCTTGTGAACATTTCTCCAAATTGTAACGGAAACGTCACACAAAAGCAGCGTGTTACAGACACAAATGTGGGGGTGAAGATTGAGAAGTTGTAGAAAATCTGTTTCCATCTTGAGATAAATATGCCAAGACTAGACATGTCGATGGTGTCATGAAAAGACTTGGAGAAAAAGTGTGACGGGAGGAAACAAACTGTCTCGGGCACCCCGATGATCAGATAGGCCAGATCGGAGATGGCGAGAGCTAGAAAGGAGACAGTAACCGTGTCCCTCGCACCCATCTTACAGAACACGTGCATGTCGATGGCGTTTGACGTAATTCCGAACAAAAGGAGAAGAGGGTCGATGACGCACAGGAGCACTATGCGTACAACGTCATAATCATGGCTGCTCAGTAACCCTGGCAACTTTTCAAATCTTGGCGATTTCGCGGCCACACTTGTGTTGTTGAATACGGAATCTTCCATGGACAATGTTTGCATTTACCTTCTTTTAAAACTTTTTATTTGCCAGGAGTATTTTTTTTTAAATCACTTATTTTTCAATGAATACATTTCTCAGTTCTCAGGATGCTTATGCGAGGGAGCTTGGCAATGGGAATGCTAGCGAAGAGCAGCTAACTGTCTGACATGCGGTGCATCTCTCGGTGGGGAGCAGATAGCAGTTCTGACTTAATAGAGCTGACCAACTAAAATAGTTATGTCGAATGAGTCTTTGTTATGACGGATACAAGATTGTAAATTACCAGTTTGACTTGAGTTCCAGATTTTATGCTCACCGTGTCTAGGATCTCGGCGTGTAATTTTAAAGCGGACACGAGAGTGGGGGAATGATGATTGAAAGAAGATCCTAGACACGGTGAGCATAAAATCTGTATTTCTTGTAATGTGAGGGTAGCAAGAAGCAATTATAACTCTCCTCTTGCAGATATTTACTGTCACAGAATCAATATTTGCCCCATTAAAGCAGTGCATGTTTTTTACTCTAATAAGTCTCTTGCGACAAATGAGGCAATCTTACAAGTTGCTATTAACGTTATTGATTCTTTGCAGATTACGATGGCTCATAATAATAGATAAACGTTGCCAATTTAGCTCATGACACCATTGATTAAGGCGAAGAATGACATAGCATGTGTGCTTTAGCTTGCTAAAAACGTTTTATCTAACACCGACTGTACATTTCAAATTAATTCAGTCCTTTATCTGAGATGTTAGAAAATATTTTTTTTATAATCTTTTACTTTATAATAATGTGTAACGTACCTAGTATAAGCTAACAAGGTGTAGGGGCTAACATGGTATTTGGCAAACTCAACAGAACGTACTCATTAACTGCTTTGATGTAATACCACTTGACATTTCCGTCAGGCGTAAAAAGCGAGTGCCATGTTTGAGTTCTTAAAAATTATATTTGTAAATTATGAAAACCCGAATATCTGGCAAATTAGACGCAGACGTCAAAGTTCACTGTTATTTGCTTGTGCAAAATCCTCAAATCGATATAGAAAGCCATATTTGAGCTCCGACACAGAAACTTTAAAAAAACAATTGTTGACCAAAACGTGCTCATCAAGCATTTCCACTGGGGCGTTGTTTCAGAGCTCGGGATAACCACTTTTTTTCTACGACGGACTTTTCCCACAATGTAGTGGCCGGTTTTGAAACGGTGATTATGATAGAGGTAGGGCATTGCAATTGAGCAGAAAACAACTAGCAAGCCATTATTAATTGTCTTTACAGTCTCTCTGTTGATGGAAAGAGCGCTTCTTTTGACATTTAAAATGAAGATTTTTTTTACTGCCCCATCGACACAATTTAGGTCATTTAGGACGTGGACTTGAACAATACATGTCAGGGCCAATCTGGTCTGAGAGGGATACAATGTCGCCGCGGAAAGATTGAGATACATGTACTCGATATAGAAAGTGTTGCTTTTTTTAGAAAAACAAATGAAGAAGTCTTGGTTGAAGCAAATCGCAGAAGACAGCTTATGACGAATATACGAAAGCGACGGGCAAACTTCTTCTGACACACAATGCGGAAAGAAGCATTGGAGAATATTGTAACAACAGGCAAGTTTGATGGAAAGAGAGGCAGAGGCAGACAGAGGGAAAAGACACTGGACAAGATGACAACATAGCTAGGAGCAGCAAGAACAACAGACACCATTGCTGCAATGCAAGACAGAGTAAAGTGGAGATCCATGATCGCCCATGCCAGTTGGCAAGACACCGGGTCCGGATGACGAGACTCGATATAACTTCACTCAGTTGAGAACCGAACTCTGGTCTCTTGCGTACGACGGTGAGGCGCGTAACCACTATTATACCTCAGATGTCCGTAAACGCTTCTCTTGAGTGTCAATCTTGATCTCTACTCATCCACTATCCCTGTCTATCATTTTGCCTCTTGCTACCAGTATAGTTATTATCATCATCATGACCAGTTGACAAAAGTTTTTTTTTTTTCGTGGAACAAACCTGGCTCCCTTTACTTGCCATCCCGCTCTCCTCCACAACTTCTTTTGACATCCCCACCT